GACTCTGACCCACTCCCCTATCCTCTTGCCTCTACCCTGAATGTTGCTGGTATTACAAGCATTTGGGGATTTTGTTTGTTTTCTTGTTTATTTGCTTTGGTGACAGAGTTTTACAATGGCTGACACCGAATTCAAAGTTCAGTCTGCTTCTGCTTCCAAAGTCTTGGCATTAAAGATGTGTACAACCACTTCCAGCTCACAGTTGTGCTTTTATGAGGGGCGGAGGCTTAAACCCAGTTTCCTGCAGGTAAGGCAAGCACTCAACCAACTGAACCACATTCCCACCTGTCTGTTCAGTTACTTCTACACTACTTCCACCCAGATCTCAACTTACCTTGAGTAAGCATACTGAAACACCATGGATACGGCTGCTCATGTTGGCACATACCTCAAGGATGCTCAAGTCTCTTATATAAAATGCAGTATTAGCATATAAATTACGTGCATCTGCCTATGTATTTTAATTAATCCTTAGATTAAATATCATATCTAATACATTTAAGTGCCAGATAAACAACTGTAATACTACAATTCGGAAATGTACATGTACAGTACATATGTCACCATAAAGTGATCACGACGATGCCCTCTTCTGACCCAACATGGCAGGTTCTTACAAATCTCATAGTACTTTGGGTAAAGTCCTCTGCCCATGTTCAGTCCAAGGCTACCGAAGATACTGATAAGACATTTCTTCTCCAACCCCACCGAAGAGTTGGTGTTCTGTGCGGTCGCCAGGGATGGGTTTAAAATGCATTACCAGATTCTGTGTGCCCAGAACAAGTACGCCACGCACAGCACACTTTGGAACCTAAGAATAAATGCGCATGAACCCGGGACAGTTGGGAGAATCCTGGAATCCAGAACGGTTCCTAGGTTAGTTCTTTTCAATACCTAAACCTGGCAGTGACCTCACCCACCTTCTTATGTTCTCTCGGGCACTGTAACACCCTGCATTCTCACACCACTCTGCTTAAAAGCCATCACACCACGGACCCACTAACTGACTGAGGGACTTCTAAGGATCTCAGCCCTCCACCTAATGAGGCAGGCCAGAATCTTGTGCGCCGGTCTGAGATCTGCGATGTTACTTACTCTGCTCCAGACCCGCCCTCTGGAAATAGCTCAGTGCGCACAGCGCACTCGCGGCGGGAAGCAGCGTGCTCCTTTTCACTGCCATGTGTAGTGTGGCGGGTGTAACCCGTGAATACCTCGCTCTGCGGATCAGACTGGGTGCAGTGAGGAACCTGAGGGGCGGAGGGTGAAGCTTACCTGGGGAACCCCGGGGCGAGCCCAGGTTGCAGGCAGCGACCACGCTCCGGAACCGCACCTGGAGGTGATGCAACACTGACGGCGGAAGGCACAGGGCGGCTCGGGGCCGTCCAATCAACGTGTGCAAGCCGACACCCACAAACAACACGCGTGGCGATTGGTCTATGAACAACTGCGGTGCAGGTCGGGAGCGTCACTGCAGAGGAAGGAGAAGGCATTCACTGCCGACACTTAGCCGGCGGCGTTGTCGTTGCAGACTGCTCTCCTGCAGGCTAGGTTCTTACCTCAGGAGGACAGGTATTTCGGTTTCCAATTCTTGGCCTATGGAGGACAGACACTTCTTCTTGGGTACTTATGTCAGTATGCTTAAATATATGTCAGTGTTCACGACATTTAAAATTAGTTTGGACTCAGAGCCTCAGGTATCTCCAGCTGGCTCCAGAACTCTAAGAAGCCAAGGATGACTTTAAACTTCAGACCCTCTTGCCTCCTCCTCACAGTGGTGGAATTACAGAAATGCTCCAGTTCGCCTGTTTTTACGTGGTGCTGGGGGATGAAGCCAGGGCTTTATGCACCGCACCAGAACCACACACTCTACCAACTGAGATTCGGGGCTGCGACACCTAAAATTTATGCCACAACTGAAACTTCTCACAGTTATTTCTGGGAACAGTACAAGCTAACCTGATTTCTGCTTGTCATGTGGTAAATGGCAGGAGAAGGGAAGAAAGGGCCTGGCAACAGCATGAACACTTGTTGAACTTCATTTAGAATGATTCTTTTAAAAAATTGATTAAAAATTTTTATCTTATGAACATTGGTGTTGTGCCTGCATGTATGTCTGTGTGAGGGTGTTTGACCCGCTGGAACAGGAGGTACAGACAGTTGTGAGTTGCTATGTGGTTGCTGGGAATTGAACCGCGGTCCTCTGGAAGAGCAGTTCAGTCACCACTGAGCCATCTCTCCTGCCCTAGAATAATTCTTTTAATTTAAAAAATTGCTTATTTATTATCATTATTCGTCTACTTAGCACCTTCCAGAACTGGTCAGGAACAAAAAACGTGGAGCTTGGCGGCCGTCTATGAAGGAAATTTTGACCTTGAAAAGTCAAGAGTTGAACAGGTGACCAAGTGCCTGTTTTATCCATTAGTGACAACAACAACAACAAAATGGATTGGGCAGAAAAGGGATAGAAAGCTTCACAAGTTTTAAGAAGCTTTTTGATAACTATTTATGCAGCACTTAAAGTTTCAGACCCTACTATGTCAATGATTAGAGGCAGTGTTCCCTGTTCTCTTTGCATTTCTACTTGAATAAGAGTTTATTAGCTAGAAATATTTGCCATGTTTTGCAAAGTTTTGCATTAAGTTGCCAGTTGGTTCGCTTCCTGTATATTCTCTGTTCAGATTGCCGAAATAGAATAAAAGGCTCCTCCATATGGGTGGTATAGACTGTCCAGGTGGTTTAAAAAATTTCATAGCTGGGTGGTTGTGGTTGCATGCCTTTAATTCCAGCACTCAGGAGGCAGAGGAATCAGTTCCAGGACAGGAAGGGCTACACAGAAAAACCCTCTCAAAAAAAAAAAAAATTCCTTGAAGATGTCAACTGTGTCCAAAACATACTACTACTTATATTCAAGAGTGATTTTTTTTTTAAAGGCAAAGTATAGGGATGACTATCGGAAGAAGCAGATTATTTTTATCCTGACAGAAAATTGGGAATGAAAAAGGCCACTTGTCACTTTGTCTACTTTGAAATGGAGCACTTGACACAAGCTCTTTGGATCCTCCCACTTGTGTAACCAGTAGAATACAGAACCAGTGGCCGAGCTTACTTTTGACCCAGACCTTAGGAAACAGCATGCTTCCTGTCTCTGGGAACACTTGCCCTTGGATTCTAGTTGCCACACTTTAAAGAAGCCCTTGAATAATCCTAGTCACATTTAGTATCTGTGAGCAAAAAACCTGTGGCTTTTATTAGGATCATTAACTATGGAGTGATGAGGTATGTGATTACATCAAGAGGAGGAACACCTTAAGTATCTTGCCAAGTAGCTTTTAATCTGTAAGTCTGAAATCCTAGAAATAGAAAGTCTAGAACAGCTCTTCAAGTTCCTTAGTTTTTTGTTCTCGATTTTACTTATCCAAATGATTTTCGTCTTTGTGTGGTGGGGGCATGTGGCATGTGCACGTACGTGAATGCAGTTCCTTACAGAGGCCAAGATGACATATGTGAGGTCCCATGAGCTGGAGTTACCTGAGATTGTAAGCTATTTGATGTGGATACTGTGAACTTGTGTGCTCTGGGAGATTGGCAAGCACTCTTAGTTGCAGTCATCTCTCCAATCCCTATATGCTAATTTACAAAAACAGTATCAGCAAAAAACCCACACCATAGGAATTGAGCATCTCAGTGACACAGACATAGGCAGTGGAGACATGATTAACAACCCAGAAATAGATACCAATAAATTTTGTGCTCAAGCAAAATGTGTTATCAATAAATACTACACTAACTTTAGGTGCAATCAAAGCTCAATAAGGCTTAGGACTAACACCCTTTTGTACAGAGCTTTTTTGTTTTTGAGCAGCTCTGGCTCTCCTGGAACTCACTCTGTAGACCAACTTGACCTCAAACTCAGAGATCCACCTGCCTTTGCCTCCTGAATGATGGGATTAAAAGCATGCAACTACCACCCCTCTTAGGGAGAGCTCATTTTAGTAGGAGGCCTATCTATGTTGAATCTTAGCTAGATTTAGTGAAATCTGAAACCTGCACTATTATGTGGACTTGGAATCTGTTTCCATAAACTTAGGTCTAGTTGGACTTTTGGGACTGACAGGCCCATCTCCATGTTGTTTACTAGTTGAGGCTAAGGTCAAGAACACACTGTATTGTCTTTTTTCCCTGGTCCTCACAAAACTCTTTAGGTGTTGGTCTGAATAGCCTACATTAGAGTCAACTTGTCTTCAGAATACAAGAATAGAGCACAAGTTAACTTGTAATTTATTGTGTTTTTTTAAAGGACAAAAGTAGAGTATTGAGAATAATCAGAAACAAACACAAATATACTGAACCATTTATTAAAAAGTTCAACTTGTCATCAGAACATAGAGAACTCAAAACTGATTTATAATTCAGTTTTTTTTTTTTTTTTTGTAGTTTTTCAAGACAGGGTTTCTCTGTAGCTTTGGAGCCTGTCCTGGAACTAGCTCTTGTAGACCAGGCTGGTCTCGAACTCACAGAGATCCGCCTGCCTCTGCCTCCCGAGTGCTGGGATTAAAGACGTGCGCCACCACCGCCCGGCTTATAATTCAGTTTTAAAAGACAAATTGGAGGTAAAAAAATAATTAGGATAGTCAGAAATATATAAACACAAGTACATCAAACCATTTATTAAATGGGGCTTTGTGTACGTCTCCCACCAAGAGATGGTCACTAGTTATTTAGGATGAAGAACAAGAATGAACATTGTTCTGAGGTGGGGTGTTACTGTGTGGCCTAAAACTTCAAGGCTCAAACAATGCTCCCACTTCCCCTCTTAAAGTGCTGAGGCTACAGGTGTGTGTCACCACAACTGGCTCAGTTAATTTTGGGACACAGTCACTAAGGAAGAGATACAGAATAATTCCACAGAAACAAATAGCAATCAGAATGATATATCATCATCCAGGCTTTGAATATTCTTCCACACTGAAATTTCATTGCCAGTAAACAATTTTCTTTTGGAGATTTGGCCAGCCATTTCTGCCAAAACCAAAACCAAAGCTGACGTTGGTTAATTTGCTTTCAACTTCCTTTTAGCTTCTTTATGTTTCTTCCGACAATCCTAGAAAATCATAAAATAAAAAGCTGTTATTAAAAATAAGCACGAATTTCTTACTCTCAGCGAAGTAAACTTTAAGTTATAAAGTCATAGAAACCCACTCTGGAAGTACTCACTGGAATGCAATTTTTGTTTTATGTTTAGGGAACTGTAACTTAGGCTTTGAGAAGCCTCCTGATTTTCTGTAACCTAGGAGACTGGCTAGACTTAGACCAGTCACTTTAAATGACCCAGGCTCCTGACATGCATTTGTGGAATGTACACCTTACTAGTAAATTGCCATGTGCTGTTTGATATCACTTGGAAGCTGGCTCTGGAAGCAGGGATCCCCTTCCCAATCATTGCACACCTCAGTTTTTTTAAATCAAGTGTTCTCCAATAACCCTTGTCTGGGGTAGAGAGATGGCTCAGTGGTTAAGAGCATTGCCTGCTCTTCCAAAGGTCCTGAGTTCAATTCCCAGCAACCACATGGTGGCTCACAACCATCTGTAATCTGGTACCCTTTTCTGGCCTGCAGACATACACACAGACAGAATATTGTGTGCATAATAAATAAATATTAAAAAAAAAAAAGAACCCTTGTCTGGGAATTGGTTGGCCTAGCAGCACAGTGACAGAGAAGGAAGAAGAATAGGACAGCCCAAGAACACACAGTGCCTTTTGAGAACAGCTGGAAAACGAATCATTTCCACCAGATGTTACTACGGTTATTCTATGATATACAGCTGCCTCTAGTGGGAAAGAGAGGCTGGAAGTTTAGCCAAGTCAAGCTCAGGCATGGACAGAAAACTCCATTGGGAACTCCTATTCAGTTTCTGCTGTAATGTTTTAAGTACATGATTTGATAGTATCTATCTATGTATCTATCTATTTACGTACCTACCTACCTACCTATCCTTTTAGTTTGGCTTTCTATATACTTAATAAGCTCAATCATTCAAAGTAAAAAATCTGCCCCATTATACATAATTTTACAGATTGCACAAAACCTATCATAGTTGAATTAAACAATCTTTTAAGTTCTTTTTAGTAGTATAATTCTAAAAGTTTAAGGCATGTTTTCAGCTGTCATATTTTTAAATTTTCAATCATATTCCTACAGTTCTTAACACTAGGGGAAAAGTAACACTAACATAATACTGTATCTGGTTTTGGAGAAAATCAGAATGGAGAAACAATTACTCACCATAAGGAGACTACTTGTTCGGGCTTCCCAAGAATTTCTGCTAATACTACTTCCCACACCACTCCAGAATAAGTGAGAACCTATGGGAAAAACAGAAGCATGAGACAGCAAATTACTGAATATTAAAATGGACAATATGATGATATTGCCAATTCTAGTACATCATCAGCCTCAGAGATTTCATGTGGATTTGTAGAGTAGTGAAAACTTGGGGCTTTTGTATGTTAATATCTAAGCAAGTCTGTATAACAAAAAAGCTCTTGTTGATAATGGGCAAACAATGAACATGGTAACAGAAGCACTATTGGCCCCTAAAAGCTTTATAATGGAGGGGAATAAAGCACATTAGAGAACAATGGGTCAGAACCTGCAGATGTAGCTGTGTTGAGTACACAATGAGTAAGAGTTGTACTACTACCTGTTCCACACCACTGAATGGAAGAATAGACCTACCATGAAGTCTGTCGTCATTCTCAGAGAAAAAGAAAAATCTAGTGCACTCTACAGGAAATGCTTCTCTGAAAACAAGTGAGAGAAAAAGGCAAAAATTACTGTCAATGTATAAGAAGAAATTATTACAGCTGTTATGGATAGTATATGTCTGTAATCCCAGCATTTGGAAAACAGAGATAGGAGGATGAGGAATTCCAAGCATCAGTTCAAGGGTAGTTTAGGTGACATAGCCCTGCCTAAAACAAAATAAGAAACGAAACCCAAGTAGCAAAACAAAACAAACAAAAATCAAAGAAATAATTACAGTGAAATTATAAAATATCCCTTTAAAAAAAGTTGCTCTGCAGCTGGATGGTGATGGCACACACACCTTTAATTCCAGCAATTGGGAGGCAGAGGCAGGCAGATCTCTGTGAGTTTGAGGCCAGCCTTGTCTACACAGTGAGTTCCAGGACAGCCAGGGCTACACAGAGAAACCCTGTCGCGAAAACCAGGAGAAAAAAAAAAAAAAGAAAACCAGGAAAAAAAGTTGCTCTGCACTTGATCATGTTACTTTGCACTAAAATGACCATATCCCATCTCTACTCAACAGTCTTCCATCTAGTTTTGATAATGAGGAATTAAGTATAGACTCTGTCTTTTGCATTCTGGATGTCAATATTCATTCCCATTGTTACCTGGTTTGCCAGTGTTCCCCAACTGGTATCCAAGTCAGCTACAGCATCTGATTTCCAAACCAGGAATACTCCCATCAACCTCACTGCCCTATCCATGTCGTACTTGCTACAAGTTGCCATCTAAAAATCTCCCTCTCTGTTAGAAAAAGGTTAGAGAACTCTGTAGAGCTGGAAAAAATTTGTCCTAGATGCTTGCATAAAGCTGCTGAAGCATGTCTGACTGACTTTATAAAGCATGGCACAGCTTACACACAAACCGCTTACCCAGGGCTAGGCCTTTTGTGATCTGCTTCTTTAGTAACTTCTTCTTCTTCTTCTTCTTCTTCTGAACTACTATCTTGGAAGCGGGGATCTTCCTGATAGACTATCTTCCCATGTTTCACTGGCTCAGTTCTATAGGTGTCTATATTGTTATGACAATGAAAGGTTATACAATTATGAATGAGCAACAGTGTAGTTTTCTAAACAAAGTAAACTGTTCCCTGTCCATGCAAACATGAGTAAACGTCTAATATGTTAAAATAGATATTATCATTTTTTTTCCTCCAGTTTTGGTGCTCAAATCCAGGGCCTTGTTCATGATAGGCAAACATGCTACAGTTCTAGTATCTAAAATAATTAGGGTTATATTTTCAATTTTAAAATACTAAAAGCTACTATTTAGTGATCAGATAAGGAATATAACATTATAAAAAGAGCTAAAAGCTAAAGGTGTATGGTTGAGCAATATAATTTTCAAAGAACAAGCATAACCTAAGTGCTGTTAAAAGAAGCCTACAGCAAAGCCGTGCGGTGGTGGCACACACCTTTAATCCCAGCACTTGGGAGGCAGAGGCAGGCGGATCTCTGTGAGTTCGAGACCAGCCTGGTCTACAAGAGCTAGTTCTAGGACAGGCTCCAAAACCACAGAGAAACCCTGTCTCGAAAAACCAAAAAAAAAAAAAAAGAAGCCTACAGGGTTGGGTGGTGGAGCATGCCTTTAATACTACACACTCTGGAGGCACAGGTAGTTGTCTGGATCTCTGTGAATCTGAGACCAGCATGGTCTACATGAGTTCCAGAAAAAGCAAGGCTATGTAAAGAAACTCTGTCTCAGAAAATCATAAAAACAACAACAAAAAGCCTACAACACTCAATGAAACCAAAGTCTCTTCTTGCTTATTCATATACAAGGGACACATGCTTATATTTGTGTTTTCAACTCTTAAATTGCTTTCTGGAACTGCTGTGAGACCTGCAGAATCTCTCACAATTTTCCAAGTTTCAAACAACTTTAAAAAATAGAACCAAACCAAACCAAACAAACAAACAAAAAAAACCAAACAATCACTGCTGGGCGGTAGTGGTGCATGCCTTTAATCCCAGCATGCCAGAGGCAGGCGGATCTCCATGAGTTCGAGGCCAGCCTGGTCTACCTTCCAGGCCAGCTAGGACTGTTACACAGAAAAACCGTGTCAAAGAAAGAAAGAAAGAAAGAAAGAAAGAAAGAAAGAAAGAAAGATTGTTTGTATCTAAGTCTAATTATAGGGCTAACATATTTCTCACACTTGGCTCTCAAAGTTTTACACACACACACACACACACACCCATCCTGCCTCTTATAGGAAATTCCCACAAAAATTCGTATATGAAATGCATACTTGAATACTTGGTAGAACAGTCTTCTGAAAAAGTGTCTTATCCAAGTGTGGAACACATTTATCATCTTGGCACTCAAGAGACTGAAGCAAAATACTCTAAGCTATGGCTGCCTGTAACTCCAGCTGCAAGGGATCCTACTCCCTCTTCTAGCCTCCTAGGGCACTCAAACACACCCCCACCCACCCACCCAATTTTTAAATAGTGGACGGTTTCAATTTTGTTATTTTTAAAATCCATGGAATTTTTTTGATCTTTTGAGGGTAAATCACCTGAAATAGGATGCAAAATTGTAGGAACTTGCTTTTACATTTTCCACTACATTCTGTCCAATCTAAAAGGATAAACTTTGAAATAACTGGCATATTGATGACATGACATATTTGTATAACTCCAAAAAGGTTATTTTTTTCCTTTCTGTTAGTCACGACATCTCCAGACACATTAAGAAGTAGAGCTATAGCCAGGAGGGTACACACCTTTAATCCCAGTACTCAGGAGGCAGACGCAGAGGCAGGTCTCAGAGCAAGTTCCAGAACAGCCAGGGCTACACAGAGGAACACTGTCTAGAAAGGAAACAGCTATCTAAATGTAGCTCACTTGTCCAAGACTGTCTGCATGTAATAGAAAGAAAGAAATGGGCCATTAATGTTTAGCCTCCACTCATATCAGCTAGCTTCAAGTCTGTTCCCTTTAATGAAAAATCACTTTTTTAACCCTGTAGGGACATCATATTTATAATCAGGCTACACTGAATCTGATATTGTTTATGCAGACTGAAATAATACACAAAATCGATTATACTTAATGTAAATTCCACCAATTAAGTTCAATCTCCCTGAAATAAAAGAGATGGAAAGAAAAAAAAAACCCTCACCTTCCTTTATATCTTTAGTGTCTGAACCAAAAAAAGAGAACGTGAACCCGCTGGTCTGCTCTGCCCCACTTGTCAGGGTTGCAGCATTACTGACTTCCTCAGTTTCCTCTCTACCCCAATCCTCATTCCAGGGTGTGTCTTCTTCCTTTTCATCTGTGCTCTTCGTATGTTGGAATATTTCTTTCAAATCTGTAGTGATGTTATGATACATGTCTTGGGATACTTCAGGCAGTTTCTCAGCTTCTTCCCTTTTCTTCTTCCTTTTTGCTTTACTGAAATGACAAATACAGACATGCATGTAACAAAGACAAGCTCTGAAAATTTTCTATACATCAGGAAAGGTAAAGTCTTTAGATAATCTTAACTTTATCCTTGAATCTTAAACAGAAAGAATTTTTTTTTAACACAAATTATCTGTAACAGATGCAAATCCTAAACATGAGTATTTTCTTAACATTCTTTAAACTACATTCCAGGAATTGAACTGTCAGTAACTTTCCTGAGGGTTTTCTCATCTGCAAAGTGAACAGGTTAAACCAGATGACTTTTAAGATTATTTTAAGATTTATAATTCTGTAATTTGAAAAAGGAATCAATTAAAATTCTTTTAGAAGTGAATTACAAATGTGCTATGTCAATTATTATCTTTTGCAAAATTTTTTTAGATTGTCATCTATTTAGAAATGAATATACTTTGTTTGATCTTAGATATGCATGTTTATAATATTGAGTTTCTAGCTAATAGATTAAAGTGTTTACCAATTAAGAATATATTCCATGCCAGGCAGTAGTGGCACACACCTTTAATCCCAACACTTGGGAGGCAGAGGCAGGCAGGCAGATCTCTGTGAGTTCAAGCCCAGCATGGTCCACGGAGAGAGTTCCAGGACAGGCTCCAAAGCTACCTAGAGAAACCCTGTCTAAAAGAACCAAAAAGAATCTATTCCATATATGTATAAGAAAAAGCAGTCTGGATGGTGGTGGTGTACACCTTTAATTTCAGCACTCGTAGGCAGAGGCACGTTTGAGGCCATCCTGGTCTATAAAGTGAGTTCCAGGACAGCAGAGCTAATACACAGAGAAACCTTGTCTTGAAAATCTAATCCTCTCCCCAAAAGAAACCAAGAAAAAAATAGAAAGAAAAATAGCAAAAATTAATGTACTATTTAAAATGGAAGTGAACAGGATTGTTCTGTTTATTTTTTTTCTTCAACAAAAATTTATTGGAAAATAGCTTTTCATAAATATATTTTGAACATATTATCACTTCCCCAATTTCTTCCAGTTCCTCCCTACTTCCCTATCCATCCAACTTTATGCTCTTTGTCTTCCATTAAAACAAAACAAAAAACAAAAACAAACCAAAAATAAATAACACACATTAAAAAAAAAACACCTCAAAAACACAAAAATGAAAGTCTAAAATTCTACAAAAATACCACTGAGTTTGTTTTATGTTGGCCAACTAGTCCTGGACGTGGAGCCTCTCCTGAAGTGTGGTTAGTACCTAGTGAGACTCCATTCTTCTTTTGTTAGCAGGAGTCAACTGCAGACAGCTACTTAGTTAGGGGTGGGAGTTCATGTCCAGTTGTCCCTTCCAGTTCTGGGGGCACCATCTGGCTTGAACTTGTGCAAGCCTTGTGACTGTTTCTACAGTCTCCTGTGAGTTCATGTTTATCAGTCCTGTTGTGTCTAGAAGATATTGCTACCTTGGAGTCATCCCTCACCTCTGACTCTTAACAATCTTTCTGACTCCTCTTCCACATGGATTTCTGAGCCTCTAGAGGGCTATTTAACTATTTAATGGTACAGACCATCTCAGACAAATCGTTTATACTTCTTAAGTCAGCCAAACTAGATTTCATACAAGTAAACCTATGAAAACTGAACTCTACGAATACCAGTGTCATATTGAACTACCATATGGGAACTTAAATTTGTCCTTGATACTTTATAGAATTAGAAGTAAATATCCACTGGAAATTCCTGGAGCACAGACTCAACCTAGTTACCTCTTGTAGAAAGAGAACATAGGAAATGTGACTTCTGAGACTGGGGTCATGGCAAAAGCCTGAAGGGTCTTGAAGATGCTGTTTAGTTGAAACTACATGGCCTTTAAGAGGTTGTAAGGGTTGGGAAAGTCAACAAAATTGTACTGGGATTTAGAGGAGAAATTCTAGAAACACTGATACATATGGTAATGAAGAAAACAGAGCATATACTTAAATGTCATGGAAATCTAGCTAAAGAAATGTCCAGGTAACTACTGAAGGTATTTTCTGGTTTCTTCTTGTTACTTTAAGTGTTAATAGGAAAGAGTGAAAATAAAAGGGAAAGGGAGGGCTCTTTTGCTTTTTTGTTTGGTTTTACAGGAATCAGCCATGGGTTTGAAGATTCTTAATCTTCAGAGGCAAATGACATGAAATTTAAGAAAACGGTTCCTAAACAAATATCACATCTGTGAAAACGTTATCTAAAGCATGAGCTGGCAAACTTCTGTAGTCTAATAGTCAAATCTAGACTATTGCTTACTTACCCCTTAATTGCATGCTAAGAACTTTTTTTTCTTTTTTAGAGCTTTATTTTTATGTATAAGAGTATTTTTCCTGCATTGTATGTATGTGTATCATGTATGTGCCTGGTGCCCCCAAGAATGGTTTTAGAGTTTGAAACACTTAATGAAGCCGGGCGGTGGTGGCGCACGCCTTTAATCCCAGCACTCGGGAGGCAGAGGCAGGTGGATCTCTGTGAGTTCGAGGCCAGCCTGGTCTACAAGAGCTAGTTCCAGGACAGGAACCAAAAGCTACGGAGAAACCCTGTCTCGAAAATGAAAAAAAAAAAAAGAAATACTTAATGAAAAAAATATTTCACACTATGCAAGAATTATATATGGGAGCTGGCTCATCAGTTAAGAGTACTGGGTCCAATTCCCAATACCCACATAACTGCTCATAATTGTCTCTAATTCCAGTCTGTATGTAACTTCAGTTACAGGGAACTGGCACCCTTTTCTGGCCTCACAGGCACCAGGCATGCACATGGTGCAGAAATGAACATGCAGGTAGGACACCCATATATATAAAAAACTTACATATGATACAAATTTCAATGTCCACATGCTTTTTTTTCTTAATTTTTTGTTACTTAATTTTTTTTTTTTTAGCTTTGATTTTCAAGACAGGGTTTCTCTGTGTAGACCTGGTTGGCCTCAAATCCACCTGCCTCTGCTTCACAAGTGCTGGGATTAAAAGTGTGAGCCACCATGCCCTGCAAGAAAGTATTTACAACAGAAGCTATCTGACTGAAGAGCCTAATTTAGTCACAATTACCCTCTTTACAGAAATTTACAGACTTCAGTTTAAAATCCTTTAATGCCTAACTCTGGCCCTGGGCAGACCTAAAAAACTTTATTTGTTCAAGCAGAGGACTTTTATGCATCTTATTAAAGTCACTAACTCTGCAGCTTCATCAAAATTTAAAGGGAATACAGACTAGGATTTACCTTTCTTTTTCGTTATCTTCTTGTTTTCTTTCATAAATGGCATGGTCATGCTTTGTTGGGTCATAACGTACAATATCCCTATGTAAAAAGAATACAGGTTGAAATAGAGATAAATTGAAACATTAATGGCAATTTACAAGTTATCACTACAAAGACACTAATTAAAAGGCTGTGATGGTTAGTTTCAATTGTTTGCTTGATACAATGTAGATTCACCTTCAAAGAGAGTTTCAATGCAGGCTGTCTAAACTAGGCTTCTGATGCTCAGGCTTTCCCACTATGATGGACTACAATCTCAAACTGAGTTGAATAATCCCTTTTCCTTAAACAGTTTTTGTTAGTATGCAGGCATCTGTACTGGCCTGCCCTTAGGGTCCTGACAGGATACATCCTCAGCAATAGCCACTAAGGACACCTCCTGTACACATTCACTATATTCCCTTTTAAAAGGGCCCTGCCCACCTCCCATCCCTCTCTTTCTCTCTCCCTCTCTGATTCTCTGCCTGTTTCTCTGTCTTTCCCGCCACCCTCTGCCTCTCCCTTCTTTTCTGCTGCTCCTGTCCTCATAGGCCAGTCTCCCCCCTCACCTTCTTCCTTTTTACATTTCCTTTCCCCTAATAAAATACTCCTCCAAGTGAACTCTGTCACTTGCTTTTTTTTCTTGCACTTTTTAAAATACAGCATTGGTTCCCTGATCAGAAAAGACTCTACTAGTCTTCATCCTGCCTACAGGCAGTCTGAGGCAAGCCAGGACCCTGGAACCCAGTCCACATTTGACAGCCTTGCTTCTCCAACTAATGAATCACTGGGCCCCTCCATCTAACACTAATGGAGGGACCCTCTTTTCCACCTGTAGCCATTTTCCACGAGTGAGGGCTCATCTCTCGAGCATGGTTTCTCGCCTTTTGGCCCCATGAAGTCCTGGCACCAGGCAACCATGGCTCTCTTGGGCTCAGAGCCTTGTACCCTGTTCTGTGATTGAGAGATCACTAAGTAGCCTATGTCGTCTTGAAATTGATCCTCTTTGAATTCCTAGAACACTAGGAATTACAGAACTTATCTGTTCTCCCCAGTAATTTATAAAGGACTCAGATGGGCTGGTATATAACTCAGGGGAAAAACAAATGAGTGGCAATATTTATGGCCCTAGGTTAAACTATAAGCATCACAAGAAAAAAAAAACAAAACAAAAAATGAGTTTTAAATTAAGTTCCCTAGGCACTTATGACAAAGTGAAACTATCACGAATGGGACAGAGCATAAGCCATACTTAAATTTCTTAACAGCTACTGATCCTTTGCTTGTAGGGTTGCTCAAGTTGATGTTTAAAACACTTTGCACAACATTCAGTGTTTGCTTTCTTTCTGCAGCAAGTTCATCTTCATTAGTTTGGTTTTCATTTAACTCTGAGGAAAGAGAATAAGCAGTCATCTCTTAACACTCATTGCTATAGAAACCCCAATCATCATAGGTGCAAATCCATGCAAAGTACACCAAATCACATGTTTAGCCTCAGATCTGTTAATATCTCTCTCCAGAATTCTTGCCACAAAAACATAGAAATCATATGACTAGCTAACAAAATATCCCACTTCTATTTATAACTGAGAAAATAAAATCTAGATTAATGTCTTTGGTGGCAAGTCTAAAACTTTTAAAGACTAAAACGCATAACGTAAAACACAAAAAACTGGAGGAAATGAAAGAAATCCCTGAAAAAAAGCCAAGAAAAAACAGTTGAAGGAAATGAATAAAACTGTTCAAGAACTGAAAATGGAAAAAGAGGCACTGAAGAAAACACAAATTGAGGGAATTCTAGAAATGAAAACTATTAAGTAAGGGAACAGAAACTAGAAAGGCAAGCTTCACCAACAGGATGTAAGAGATAGAAGACAGAATCTCAGGTGTAGAAGACACAATAGAAGAAATAATGCACTGGTTAAAGAAAATGTTGAATCTAAAAAAATCCTGACACAAACATCTAGGAAATCTGAAACACTATGAAAAGACCAAACCTCAGAATAATAGGAATAGAAGGAAAAGAACCCCAGCTCAAAGGCCCTGAAAATATTTTCAACAAAATCACCAAAGACAAATTTTCTAATTTGAAGAAAGGCATGCCTATAAGGTACAAGCAGCACACAGAACACCAAACAGATTGAACCAGAAAACAGTCTCCTTGTCAAATAATAATCAAAAAACTAAACATAAAGAACAAAGAAAGAATATTGGAAACTGCAAGGGAAAAAGAACAAGTGACATAAAGGCAGAACTATTAAAACTACACCCAACTTCTCAATGAAGACTTCTCAATGAACACCCAGAAGGGCCCGCAAACTCTGAAAACTACAGATGCCAGTGCAGACTACTATGCCCAGCAGAGATAGAGAAAAAAAGATATTCTATAATAAAGTCAAATTTAAGCAATATCTGTCTACAAATCCATCCCTATAGATGGTAATAAAAGAAAAAAATTCATGAAAACACAGGAAAGGAATAGAAGATAGACAGACAGACAGATAAGTAATAGATAAATGAAAAAACATGAGCATCTAGGTGCATGGCTGTAATCTAAGTAGGAATCTGAGGGAGGAGGATCACATGTTTCAAAGAAGAAAAGAAACATATGAACCAGCACCCTAAAAATACCCAACTACTACCGGGCGGTGGTGGCACACACCTTTAATCCCAGCACTCAGGAGGCAGAGGCAGGTGGATTTCTGTGAGTTCGAGACCAACCTAGTCTGTTCCAGGACAAGCTCAACAGCTACAGTGAAATCCTGTCTCGAAAAACCCAAATAAATAAACAAACAAACCACCCAACTAACCCCAAAACAAGCACACAGCATGTACACCAGAGAAAGATAAAGACTCTTCCTATTAAATATAAATTAGTCATCTTCTGTGTTTTCTAATTTAATATAATTATGTTATATTGAAATACATATAAGGAAACTTAAGAATTATTAAGTATACATCTGACTAAAAACTCTGTTTAATTCATTTGTTTATTTATTTAGTTTTTCAAGACAGGGTTTAAATAACCTTGACCATCCTGGAATTCACTCTGTAGAACAGGCTGGCTTCGAATGCACAGAGATCACCTGCCTCTGCATCCCAAGTGCACCAGGCTGGCCTGGAACTCACAGAGATCTGCCTGCCTCTGCCTCCCAAGTGCTGGAATTAAAGGCACGCATGTGCCACCACTGCCCAGCTACAATTCATTTTAGAGTATAGTTTCTTCCAGTGTTAAATGAAGGAGAAGCACCAGGTGACTTCCTAGCTTTGATAGCAGGGCTGTTGGGACAGTAAATAGTTACCTTTCTGTTCCTCTTCACTGTCACTCTCTAAAAATCTAGAGTCCATTCGGAATCTCTCATCATTTCCAAAATGAGACTGCAAATCCATGAGCTACATGGAAAAGAAACACTGTCATGATAAGCACATTTTGAAAAAGTCTCTAAGTACCTCCTCACCCTCTGAAATTCATAACTACCATCTGCACAACTGCACTGGATATTAACAAGTAAGAGGTGAGAGAGGATTCACTCCCACAAAAATTACCCCACACTGAACTGTGCCCTACCTATTTAAGGACTACCTCTAAAACCTAGACATGCTGCTACTGTCTGTGTTTTCAATCTTCACTAACCTTCTGGCCAGCTCTGCCCTCAAACTGAGGTTTAATGTTGAACCTGGTGCTGTCCTCCTTGGAATCTGAATCTTCATCATCGCTGCTATCAAACAACTTCCCAGATGCTTTACCCACAGATTCCTGTTATATAGATTGAAAAAAAAAAAAGAAATATTTATTAACTGAAATAATCAGCATTTTCTTGCTAATGTTAATTTTATGCTATATTTAAAAACCAACAACCCGCTGGGCAGTGGTGGCACATGCCTTTAATCCAGCACTTGGGATACAGAGGCAGGCAGATCTCTTTTTTTTTTTTTTTTTTAAATTTTCGAGACAGGGTTTCTCCTTGGCTTTTTGGTTCCTGTCCTGGAACTAGCTCTTATAGACCAGGCTGGCCTTGAACTCACAGAGATCCACCTGCCTCTGCCTCCCCGAGTACTGGGATTAAAGGTGTGCCCCACCACCGCCCGGACAGGCAGATCTCTTTAAGTTTGAGACCAACCTGGTCAACAGAAAAAGTTCCAGGACAGCCAAGGCTATACAAAGAAACCCAAAATAAAAACAAAACAAAACAGCAGTTACAGAAACAAGTGTGTGGTGGGCCAGATGAAAACTCTGACTCAGGCATAGTTAACTGGACTCCTGGGTTATTAATCCACATGCCCTGTTGCCACTTGGATTTGGGAATTAATAACCACAAGCAAGGACACTCCCCATAGTCTAGCATGAATAATGATGAGACTTTGTATGAAGTAGCAAACAGTTTCATGGGTAAGAAACATCTCCAAGACCCCTGCTATCTCAGGATGTGGTGGCTTGGGCAACAAGGCAGTTGCTAGCATTTTATGCAGAAGTAGTAGCTGTGTGGACCTCTTGCTATATAACAGATGCTACAGCTGCTGTGTTGGTATACTGTGGAATCAGACTGATGCAGAACTTTTCAGGTTAAAGGCAGCCTAGGGTACACAGCATTCCTACCACAAAAAAGGAAAACAAGTGTGGGAATCTGGAAAGTAGATTAATATTTGGAAGGCCTTACCGTCACCAACTCCTTTCCTGGACTGTTTTGCTCCTGAGTGGATGTCTCTTCCGTTTCACTTTCATTATCAGAAGCAAAGACAATGTGTGTTTTTTTGTTCTCTGGATGACCATCCTAGTGAAACACAAGCAGCATCACATTTCAAGACCGCCAACAGTCTAGCCATGTCCACATCTATCGTCTTCTCCCATCCCTTATGCTTCTTTTCCTTGTCCAGGGAATACCATTATCATCTGCTATTTCTCCAAGACAGAAGTTCAGGCCTCCTTTCTCCTATATCCAGTAACAATCAAACTCTATTAATTTGACCAAGGTATCTTTAAGAACCACCACTGTTATGGTTGTGGTCCTTGACATCTAAAAGGTTCTCCTTGCTTCCAGATATGACTCCATTATATTTATTGTTTATGTCATGACCTGAAGAATCTCTAAAATAGAGGCTAACAAACATTATCTGTAAAGATTTAGAGTAAACACTTTAGATACTACAAGTCACAGTCTTTGTTGTGGGTTAAAAACTATTTGGGGGGCTGGAGAGATGGCTCAGTGGTTAAGAGCACTGCCTGCTCTTCCAAAGGTCCTGAGTTCAATTCCCAGCAACCACATGGTGGCTCACAACCATCTGTAATGAGGTCTGGTGTCCTCTTCTGGCCTGCAGACATACACACAGACAGAATATTGTATACATAATAAATAAATAAATAAATATTTATTTAAAAAAAAACTATTTGGGCTGGAAGCTCTGTGTATTGTAAAATGCCAACTCCTATTCTAAAATGTACACAAATAGCTGGGTATTGTAGCACATGCCTTTAATCCCAGTACTCGGGAGACAGAGGCAGAGGCAGAAGCAGGTTGATTTGTGTGATTTTCCGGGTAGTCTGGTCTACAAAGTGAGTTCTAGGACAGCCAGGGCCACAGAGAACTGTCTCAAAAAAACAAAGACAAAATGTATACAACTAATCTTTAATGCTTGTATAAAAATTCATCAGTTTTTCACAGCTTCAGGAATAAAATTCCCCCCTCTACAGTCTCTGCATAACCTACCCTGCTAATCAGTGCTACTTCATTTTAGAAATACCAGTGTCATGAAAAAAAAAATTTTACTTTTCGACAAATGGCTCCCTTTTACAGGAAGATCTTTCACCTCCCTCGCTTTTTCTCCACATCAGTAAAATTCCTTCTACTCCCTTACATTACTCAGTATGGTTGAGGAAACCTAGGTGACTTGGTGTTCGAAGTGACTGTGACTGCCTGCTTGCCATACAAAGGCTCATTACTGTAAATGCCATCAAGATAGAACTCTAGCCGTAACCACTATACAAACTACAGTTTGCATGTAAACTTGTATATAAACTGTGATATAAACTTTTACCTCAAGGACTAAAATTACTGAGTAGTGAATGTGAAAAAGACAATGAGCTCTACGAGGACACACCTACACAGGAAGGAAAATCTTGACCTTGAGACAGTCAAATCCATAGACTGAAAATGCACTCACCAAATTTGCCAATGCATTGTGCACCAGTTTCTTCTGCACTTCTCTGGCTTTCTGCCACACTGCCAAGGCTGCTAGTCGCTTCTGGTTGTCTTCAGCATGTTTATCCTTAGCACTCATACATGATGCATCACTGACAGAAAGTGAGAAACTAGCTGTGCTTTTCTGAGGGTCTTCCCTGAAAGACACCTTCGGTGGTTTCTCAAGAGATGTCATGTTGTTTGAATCAGTGTCCTCTTTCTCTGATGCTTTTCTACTTTTAGGCTGATGGCAAGTGTCTCTGTCAGACTCTATCTTGTGACTCTTTGCACTAACACTTAGGGACTTTTTACCTTTTAATGGCAACGGACATGAGAGAGGATTCTGACTTTCCTTGTCAAAACAGGTAGAGGACATGACTTTATGGCTCTGGCTCTCAGAAGTAGACTGTCTCTTTGGAGACTGAATGTGGTTTGGGCTGTTTACCTTCTTTGCAGGTTGGCATGAAGTCAATTTATTTGATGAGCCATTAGCACACTTGGATCCATTTTCTATAAAAACTCTGTCAGGCTCTTCATGTTTCAAGGAGCTCCTTGATTGTTCATTGATGTTATTAAAGTCAACAGTCTCTTTCAAAGTTTTATCCCCTGACTCCTTTGCATAGAGACCACCTATTCCCTTAAAGGCCTGGAATTTTGGTTTTAAGATGGTTTTCTCTGTTTTTTGTCTGCTGTAAGTGTTCTCCTCTAAAAGGGAAGCCACAATCTCCTCAGGACAAATGCACTGCCGGCCACTGTGCAGGTCATTGGATGTCTTAGGACTCTTGGAGGTTGTATTAAATTTGCAGTGGCTGCTGTTTTGTGAGCCATCACTCTCATTGTTTCCTGGAACCTTCTGATGACTGCCAGCCAAGCATTCCAAATCAGCCAAAGTGAGGTTCACTCGGGGACAGTTTTTCATCAAGGCTTTATATTCTTCATCTTCCTCAGACTCTTCACTGTCACTGGTGTTGGAGTCAGGTGGAAATTTAGGATTCAGAAACTTTCCTTCATGACCCAGGGCTGATTCTTTGTTGCTTTTAGTATTCTGTACTTCAACACAATCATTAGAAGGCTTTATCTTTTTAAAAGAACTTCTCATGCTTATAGACTTTTCTGGCTGTGAAGATTCTGCACTGTTTTTTACCTTAACAGTGTTTTTCTTCATCACAATAATTTCATCTGTGTCACTGGAGTCACAGTCACTGTCATTTCCTGAACTGGTTGAAGAACTAAGGCTGTGAGTATCTGATTTGAAATCATCCCTTACAACTTCAAAAGGATCATTTTCAGATTCGTTTACCAAGGAATGCCTAGCTTTCTGTAAGTTTTCCTCTTTTGCAATCATCACTTTTAATTCTTCTTCAGAGTCAATGTCATCATCAGACTTACGACTTTTATTCCAGATAATTTCAAAGTCAGAAGTATGAAAAACCACGTGTTTAGGTTTCTGAGTACCAGAACTGGGCACATGGAGTGATTTAGAAGGAACAGCAGTACTAGGGGCTTTCCTGTGCGCAGTCATTGGCTGTGTTGATTTGTTACTCTCCATCACCTCATTAGTCCTTAGACTAATATTAGAAACCTTGGACTCCATGGGACCCTTCTGCACTTTCTTAATCTTCTGGGGAGGGAAATGAGAGTCAGAAAACTCTCCTCGACGTTTCTTACTCATAGGGTCATTGCCTCCTTCCAATTCCCAAGTGAGGTCAGTTATGGGAATGGTTTCTGTCAAATCCTCCGATATCTTTTTTAGGTTGTGGCAGTATTTTGAAGGATCATATTTCATTATGTTACTCAAAGTCAAGGAAAAAGCAACAGCAACAAGTTTTAGAGAAACCTACCAATCTGGTGAAACAGGAAAAATGTTACTAAATCTTGAACAAGTCCTTTGTTTCATCGACTTTCAATTTCCTATCAACATAGTAAGTGTCTAGGGTCTATAAGTTAACTATACCATATCCAAAGCTAATTCAATACCATTATCAGTTAAAAGAAATCACTTCAATGATAAACATTACAGCAATCTGATGTGTACACATACTGTATGCACAGAAGCACAGGATGCCTGCTTTTGAAAGTATCAGATAACTGACTTCGTGGAATAGACATTAGAATTTGCTGACCTTGGGTTCCATATGACTTCTCCATACACGCTTTTCTTGCTTATTGGCCTATTTTTACCTAGTATCTTCTTTTAAGAACTACTTTATAAGTTTCTTATAAAACTACCTCAATTTCTCATAAGTCTTCTTTAACAATGGCCCCTTATTCTCTATTCCTGCACTGCTCCATAGCAAAGGCTTGCAAATTCATAAGTACTAAGAATTTTTTTAAAGATAGAATCTTACTACATAGCCCTGGTTGGCTGGAACTTGCCATGTAGACGAGACTAGACTTGAATTCACAGAGATATCTGCCTCGGCTTCCCAAGTGCTGGGACTAAAGGTATGTGCCACCATGTTCAGCTTGTAATAAAATTCATACATTAACAAATGTTTCCTTGGGGCTGGAGAGATGGCTCAGCGGTTGGGAGCATTGCCTGCTCTTCCAAAGGTCCTGAGTTCAGTTCCCAGCAACCACATGGTGGCCTGCAGGCAGACACAATACTGTATACATAATAAATAAATAAATCTTAAAAAAAAATGTTTCCTTGGTAATGATTCATATCACTTAATTGCATAAAACTGCACATCACTCATTATTCTCAATGTGATTTATATATGTAGAAGAATTAGCTTACCTTGAGAGAAAGAGGTAACATGCTGAAAACAATTAAAAATTTATCAATAGAGGCGATGAAATCATAAAGATATTTTACCACTACTCTGGGAAATAATAATTACTGTGAAATGCTGACCAAAGGATATTTTATGTTTATGTTGATTCTTAAGGTGAAGAACGGGTAAGACTCTTCCAAATTTACTCACAACCCAATTCTAAAAGACAAAAAAAAGGACTTATAATTGTCATAAATATAAATGAAATAATAATACATAAATGTAATTTTTTAAGTTTTTGACAATAAAATAAAAGGTCTCAAAAAAAGTATGAGGAAACAAAAATGAAAGAAAATTCCAACTATATCTTGGACAGTATTTTAGACACACACACATATATGCACATACACAGAGCTATTAAAACTGTGGCCATGGTCTGGATGTAGTGGGGCACACCTGCAATCCTAGCACTCAGGAAGTAGAGGTGGGAGCATTAAAAGCTCAGTTAAGTATCAAGTCTGAGACCAGCTTGGGATATAGGAGACTCTGTCTAGAAAGAAAGAAAGGAAAGAAGGAAGAAAGTGGAGAGGGGGGAGGGAAGGTGAGGGAATGAGAGAAAGCATCCATTGTGATGGCATATGTAAGACCTGTACACCATGAAGCCAGCCGAAATCCCAGCAAGAATGGGGTAAGGATTCAAGAAATCCCACCCCTAGAGGAGAAGCAACTGGCAATTGATGACTCCTAGGAGAGGAAGCAAAACCTTCGACCTGCATGCTATCTGTTCCAAAGTGGAGAGAAAGCGTCAGCTTTGGATGTCACACACCTACAAACATGAGCTCTCAGAAGATATGGCAGACAAAGTTACTGAAGGAAACTCACTTTATGTCCTGGTACCTCTGTGCCAGGCACAGCTTTCATATGGAAATCTACTCCTCCCATCTTTTCCACTAAGTTGGTGTTGACACTGGTTGGATTTTCTTTCTTTGCTTTGGCTTCTTCTCTTTCTTGAGCTAATCTGTATTAATTGAAGGGCAAGTAAAAGCAAATCAGCCATGAAAAATGTTTAGCGGTGCCATTCAGGTAACCCTGAGTGAGTACCAAAATGTCAATATAGCATGAGAAAACAAAACACTTCTTTAAAAGCATAATTGCTTATACTATTTTCTAAACACACAAAACATTTTCATTGTAGAATGACAAGAAAGCATTGAAAAGCAAAACAAACCACATGTCTTTAATCCCACGTTGTTAACACTTGTCTACATCAGCTTCCATTCTACTCGCAAACACTTACAATGTACCCTCCCACACCTGTGCTCTGCTACATGAGCTGCCTCAACTCTCCTTCATGGCAGATAGGAGACCACAAACCACAAGCTCTACTGATATAAAAAAATAATTATTTTATATGACATATAACGATATATTCTTTTATTTATCCATTTATTGTTTGATTGATTAATCGATTGATTATGTCTGGCTGGTGTCAAATCATGTAGGCTAAGCCATCCATCATGACTACATATCCAATTCTTTCATCCACATATTCTTAAATATATTTTATTCTGAAAATGAGCTGAATCTTTTCCTTAGAGAAATTAGTTTTGACTAAGAAAGCTCTAACAGTTGTTATATAATCTTTGAAATCACATGCAGAATTATTATGTCTCTGAATGGCCCCATAGGTTCACATATTTGAATTCTTGGACTCCAGTTGGTGAACTTTTTTTTTTTAATTCTATTTATTTGTATTTTATGTATGAGTGCTGTGTATGAACACCTGCATGACAGAAGAGGGCATCAGATCCTATTACAGATGATTGTGAGCCACCATGTGGATGCTGGGAATTGAACTCAGGACCTCTGGAAGAACAGCCAGTGCTCTTAACCGGTGAGCCATCTCTCCAGCCCCAGTTGGTGAACTCTTTAGGAAAGATTAGTAGACACTGCCTTGCTGAAGGTGGTGTGTCACTGGGTGTGGCTCTGAGATTTCAAAAGCCTAAGCCATTCCCAGTTGGTTTTCTCTCTGCCTCATGCTTGTAAGTAAGATGTAAGCTCAGCTACTGCGCTAGCACTATGCATGTCTGCCTATTGCCATGACTGGTCATGGACTCTAACCCTTTGGAACCATGAGTCCCCAAATTAAATGCTTCATCGTGGCAATAGAAAAGTAACCAGGACAATGTCTCATGTATATATCTTCTTTCTCTCTTTGCATAACACTGCACTTAACAATCAAAACCAACAAGTGTAATTCAGTTTAGGAAACTTTACCTTTTTGACATAGAAACACTTTCATATTTATAAGACATCCTAATGGATCATCTATAGATAGCAAGAGATAGAAATAGTTTAAATGTCTTTTAGAGCAAAGAGACACTGTGGTAACAGGAACTTCTGATATACAGATAGTTGTTATAGTTGTTACAAAAGGGGGAAAGCCATAGAAGATTGTATTAGAAAGAAAAAATAAAGAAATACATATACATGCAATACACATGCACATGTAACAGCATTGAATTCTTTTTCTGTGTGGCTTAGAATGAAAGGAGAGTGGAAAAAGACTTCAGCTCTACTTGCTCTAGTGTCCTGCTTTCATTTCTGCTGCTGTGATAAAATGTCCCAAATAAAAAGCAACCTAGGGAAGAAATGGTTTCTTTACGGTCACAACTCTGGGTTATAGTCCATTACAGTATACTGCAGGGTAGTTAAGGCAGGAACCTGAAGCACCTAGTCACACCCACAGTAAAGAACAGAGAGAAAATAAATGAACACATACATACTCCTCAGCTACCTTTCCCTTTAGTCTAAGGCTTCAAACTGGGGAAGGCACCATCAGCTTCTAGGTTAGGATTTCCCAGATCAATGAAATAAATCAAGGCAATCTGCCACAAACAACCTTCAGAAAGTCAACCTGATGTAGACAATACTACATTAAAATTCATTTCCCAGGTGGTTCTAGGTTGCATTAAGTTGTGAAACTAATCACGAAAACTAGTAATATTTTCAATAATTTCAAATTAGTTAGGCAAACTTATAAAAGCAATTATACTATAAAGAAAATAGGTTTAAATACACGCAGAGAAAATCTTACCTGTGTAAAAAGCTTTCTTTTGCTAGCTGAATTTTTAGTGTTCCACCTTTCCATTTTGTTTTGTTTAAAACAGACATACCTATACAGTAAAGAATTGCCAAAGTTCATTTCAGTGCAAAACTGTATTTCAGCACCTTTTCCCCCCTTAATTACTTAGTACTAGAAAAATAGGTTTATTAGTCACAAAGAGACACCTAAAATATAGAAGAAAAAGTGAAGCTAAGCTTTCTGTATTATTCTGACCAGTTAGAAGTTTTCTCCCTCTTCTTTTAAAAAAAAATTTATATTTATTTCAAGCATTTTATTTCATGTGTGTGTGCATGTTAATATGCTCATTTGTGTGTGAATACCTCTGAAGGTTGAAAGAGGGCATCAGATCCTCTGGATCTGTAGTCATAAGTGACTGCTAGTCACCCATGTGGGTACTAGGAAGTGAACTTGGGTCCCCTGTAACAGGAGCAAAAATTCTGAACTATTGAGTCATTCCTTCAGTCCCTGCTTGAGGTTTCTTTCTCTCAGTTACTTGAAGGATGACAGAAAAAATAATATATAAACTGTAAAGCAAAACTTATGTGCACATTGTTTATCGATTCATTTTAGGAACTTCTGGTGAATAACTATTTATTTACTATTTTGTTATTTTCTACACTATAAATAAACAATGAAATCTTTTCAAGGTGAATGAGAGTACATTTTGGGATCCTATAGCATTATCTTTTTTTTTTTTTAAGATTTATTTATTTATTATGTATACACTATTCTGTCTGCTTGGATGCTTACAGTCAGGAAGAGGGCACCAGATCTCACTCATTACAGATGGTTGTGAGCCACCATGTGGTTGCTGGGAATTGAACTCAGGACCTCTGGAAGAGCAGCCAGTGCTCTTAACCTCTGAGCCATCTCCCCAGCCTCCGCTGTAGCATTATCTTTCACCTCAATCCAGTCACCATCGCAAAGCATGTTCAAACACACACATTAGCCAGTGATTGAAACATGCTTCAGTTGTTGTGCCGTCGTGGTTGATTTTTCTAATACCTTTTGTCAGCTTCCTTAATGTAACTACTAACAAAATCTTCCGTGCAGGTAGATATTTTACTGTGTTCTAATGTACTATTCAATCCTTACAGTAACGTTACAAGTTAAGACACTGTATCTTTTCATTTGCTGGACTGAGAAGTTTAAATAAACTACCTTATATATACTCACACCAAAAATAATGTTTGCAAATGTTATTAAAGACTGACTATTTTCTTCCAATGGTATGTGTCTTTTACTTGCTTTTCAGTGCCTTTTTCTTTTTTGACTTCCAAGAAATCAAAATACATTAACAGACATCAACAGAATGATAAATCATCTCCGCCATTTTAATCATTGACAGCTAATATTGACCCATAGCTTTACTAATCTCCTAGTAATAGATGTCATAGTTTCAAAGATAGGGTCTGACAATGTCATATTCTAGTGTCCTTTCATGACAGGTCTAAAAGACAAAAGTTTAGCTGCCCAAGAAAAGAATGGTCTTAAGAGAAGTGTGGCATAATGTCCAGTGGGGTAAGTGTAATAGGCAATGTCTATGGAAGTTTGGTCCTTTGTTTAAATTATTTGAAAACAGTAGTTTCTGCGCAAGGCTACTAGCTTGTGATACTAGATCTTCTGACACTAACTGAATAAAGTGAAACATGAGATATATGGCCACAGAATTCTCTTGATCATGGTTGCCAATCTACACAACTCAAAGTGACTAGTGAGGCTTAGATATGGAACCAAAGTCATTTCAGTTACACAACCACACTGACAAATAGAATAAAAAGTACATGATGATCTTACATTTTTTCAGGTCCGCTTCTGTTATTTTGATGTTAACATATGCAAAGACCTTCTGTGAATTTCCTAAAAAAGAAAATTTGCTCATTTAATTCATATCCAGAGAACAATGTAAATCTCAATAGTTTTTGTTTTTTATGAGATGACTGCCTGGCTTTGAACTCAGACAGTGACCTACCTTGGCTTCCTTAGTGCTGGGATCAAAAGTGTGCACGACCATGTACAGCTCTAAAAATTGTTCCAAGTTTTAAAAGTTTATAAACACTTATTCTTTGAAAAAATACTTTTTGCACACCAGACCAAAGACTTAATTTTTATAAAACACAAGGTTTTTTTTTAAAAAAATAAAATGAGTAAGAAAAAAAAACCCTCGAGTTAAGACACATCTTGACTGTATGCTAGTGACATTCTACTCAACAAGAGACTTAATGCTAGAATGTTGACTCCTAAAATTCAAAGTAAAGACGTTTTGGAAATTTAAATGTTTTATAATTTTTCTGTTCCAAAATTAACTTTTATATGCAGTACCTCAAGGAGGCCATATATCATTTTCAATGTTCAGTGCTAAAATTCAGCTCCAGAGTTGTTTTCTTTTGTAATACCTGCCCTGAGTTGGTATATATTCAGTTATATATTTATATATAATATATAGTTATAGATTTACCTTGGTCATCTTTCCGAGTGATGATCTCCACATTAGATACTTCTCCAAATCTGCTGAACTGATTTTGTAAGTCTGTCTCAGAAATGCCTTGTCCAAGCCCACCCACAAAGAGGCGCTTCATTTCTCTGTTGGCTTTCATGAATACTGGGCATTCATCTGGAAAAGTAATTTTGAGTAGAAAACACTTAAGAGCTTTTCACAAATAAAACACAACTCTTTTCCCTGAAACTTCTGTGCCAAATCTGGTCTTATGGAACTACGCCTCGCTATTTGTATTCTTCAGATTTTATAAAAGGAAATTTTACAAAGGCCCTACATTCACGTTCTCAATGAACACACTTTGGAACTGCACCCACCTGCACAGCGCGCGCCCGCGTGCACAGACACCCCGATCTTTTCTCTGTATACAACACAACCACAGTTACTTTATCTTACCTTTTTCATTTCTTTTTCACAGAATTGGGTGTTCACAGAATTGGGTGTTCCCACCCTCCCACCCCGTGATTCGTTTGGACATTTATTTTAACAGTTACTGACAAAATAGTAAGTCAAAGGCTATCTCCATCTTGGAGCTCCATAGTCATAACAGAGATAAAGTCCGCAGCTACAACAGTACAGCATAATACAAGTGTCCCCAGAGCACTGCTCAGGCAGAAAGACGGGAACTAAAGTTATACGTTCAACATTTTTCCCCCACTGTGCGCCTCAATTGCACGAAGTACTTTGCGTGGTTCTCACTGTTTGCGTGGCAGGAGAGGTTAAGACTTCTCCCAGAGCCACTTAGAAAATGCCAGTGGTGAAGCAAGGCTCAGACCCTGAAACTGTTAACACTATACTACCATGGTTGCTGGAAAGGTTTTCGGGAGGTCCCTCCATCTCGTTTAGCTCTCAGTAGATGCTCAGCTCTCACTCAAACTTTCCTCAAAAGCTGGCTGACGGCTTCCAAGCCGAGATCACAAAACGGCCGGCAGGAGCGCAAAGCCAAAACCTGCTGTCTGGGAAACATCTACAATGTAACACTTCTTGGCAGCCTCCGCTCCATCCTACCCATCCCGCCTTCCTCCTCCGAGAAGTCCCAAGAAGAGGAGACGAGAGGTTAGGCCCAACAGCCCATCACTTCTCACACGACAACACGCTCAAGAAGCTGCCCCTCAGCACTAGCGCAGCGTAGCCCCCAACGTCTAATTTACACGTGCCAGCAGGCGCACTTTCTTTTCTTTCCTGCAGGGTTTCCAACCCGGTCTCCTAAGGTTCCGTTTCGACGCAGTTCCCGAGGGTTCTTTATTTCATCTGCCTTCATTCTAACTAACGTTCCGCTACCTTCTCTTCCACGTCTGTAAAAGAGCCGAGGAAAAAGTTCCGTAATTCCTACAGAGAAGACGTGCCGCCACGTGAAGCCCGACTTCCGGGTCAAGTAAGGCGGAAGTGGGAGAGCGGAACAATAATAAAGAGACTCTTTTCCTCGTGCTTCCCGGGACCGCCCCCTCAGTGACGAAAGGGCTCGGGCCGCTCAAAGGCAGCTTGAGGGGGCGGGCTCGACGTTCGGTTTGGAACGAACCACCTCCCCGAAGCGTCGGGAGTGTCTAGCCGGAGGGACGCCAGGACCTAAAACGGAGGTTGAGGGTGGGGCGGATACGCGTCGCCAAGCAGCCTCTCCCCCGCGAGCTCGCGAATGGTCCGCGCCTAGAATGCGCGCGCGGCTTGAAGCTCCCGGCGAGAGAGGCGCCCTGACAGAGTTGTAGGGCGCAGTTTCCCCTGCAGTGCCGCGCTCCGGGTGCCATGGACTCTGAGACCCGCCAGCTGCGCGCCCTGGAGGCGGAGGTCGCGGCGCTGCAGCGGGTGTGCACCATGCTGCCAGAGCCCTGGGAGAAGACGTCCGGAGCCGGGTACGTGGCTCCTGTCCCCCACCTCGGGCCCGCGCGTCGTAGCACCCGGCCGACTTGGCAACCTCCTGACAGCTCGGGGGCTCCGACTGCCTGCACGCCGGGTCCTGAACAGTGTAGTGGGAGACCTCCCGAAATGTCAGCTTGAGTCAGAATCGATTCCGTGAGGACAGTGACCTCAGAGTGTGAGCCCTGCGTTTGGGGTTCATGGCTTGATTGTAATCAGCAGAAAATAGTTTTCTTAAGGGTTAGTTTTGCCCGGTTGATGACAATCAGTAGGAAAGTCTTCCTTTTCTTTAAGAAATCTCGTCTTCGGGAAACAGTATTTAGTTGGGCTATTTTTTATAGCTTTACAGATATTCTTACTCTGTAGGTCAGGAATTCGCTCAACTTCACTTCAAGCTCATGATCCTCCTTCAGCCCCCACCCCTAGCGGTCGGGTTATTACCTGAACCGCCAAGCTTTGCTCTAGTTGGCATCCCTTAACTCTGGTTTCATGGATTTGTTCTTGTGGTTCATCTCACTATAGTTATAGTAAAGTGTCTTGATCATTTTGTATTATGCTAATAACGTAAGGGTTGGGGGTATATAGCCCTGTTGCAGGACAGCCTAATATGGACAAGAATCACACGGGACTGGTGGTGGGGATGGGGTGGGTGGTGGTATAGTCAATGACAGAAAGCCTGAAAAACAGCTTAGGTGAAATAAATTGGAAAGTGTGATGATCCTCTGATTAGGTGATACTGTTAACACCTATTTAAAGGTAGTGACCCTGAGGGTCATAGAGTTAAATAGTAAAATCCAAAGTCCAAGCATTCTCTTCAATTCAAAGAGAAGAAGAAAGAAGGAAGCCTGGAATTAACAGTGATTAAGTATCTTAAACCTGAAAACAAACTACCTTTATTTTATTAGGTATAATTTGGTACACTTGCAGAGAATGGGATTTTCCTGTGTTGAAAAGAACCTTGGAATGCAGGAATGTGTGGAGAAGTCTTAAAGAAAATAAAACGAGAGAAAGTTGTAACTGATGAAAGAATTGTGCCCTGGCCTATATGTATCCTCTTCCACAAGCAACCATGTGAGACACTTGCTACTGATTCGGGTGTGACCCATATATTGAAAGCTATGAGTTGGCGAGACCACCAGACTGACTCCACCCCCACTTACCAAATTAGAATTTGTATTTTATCAAGACAGCCTGGCCCTATACTCTTTGTATACACACTTAAAAGTCTGAGAAACGAAAGCTGGGTGGTGGTGCACACCTTTAGTCCCACCTCTTGGGAGGCAGAGGTGGGCGGATCTCTGAGTTTGAGACCACCCTGGTTGAAGAGTGAATTCCAGGCCAGCGGAACTGTTAAATGGAAACCCTGTCTCAAAAAACAAAATCAATCAGTTGATCAAACAAACAAAGAAAAATTGAGAATCACTGTGTCTGTCTTACCATAGGGGAAAATAGTTTCTTTACTCACCACAAGATGTCGATATAACACAGTAGACTGTTTATGTAGAATCCTCGGTAATAGAGCTGAAAATTAGAAGAATTTAGATCAGGGGAAATAGTAAATGTCAGTCCAAAGTGTGTGCATTTAATGTGATATTTTTCTCACTATGGTGAAGGAAGGTTGAGGCCTGTGTACCAAGCTACTTAATTTTTAAAATGATTATTACATGTGTATTGTGTGTGAGTGATGGCGCATGTATGTTGTGGCAATATATGTGGAGGTCAGCGTATAGAGCAGACACTTTGAAGTGTCATTTCTCTCCTTCCAATGGAGATAAAACTTCTGTGTCAGACTTAGGCAACAAGTACTTTTACCTACAAAGCCATCTTGCCAATCCTCCAAAATGCTTTTAAAATGATCTTAATGGTTGAAAGAATTAGCAGCTGGAATAAAGGTGTTGTTATATCCATGTGCCCACACTGATTCCAAGATTGCATACCTTCAGATCCTGACTTTGCTATTGGCTGAGTGATCTTGATTTAGTAATTGCCTCCTCCTGTGCTTCAGATTTTCTCATGCTAAAATTTCTTTTGCCTAATTGCTTCCACTACTACATTGACTAGAAATGATGAGGTATATTCCTTTTCTTTAAATTTTTTTTAGTTAGCATACAAAGTAGTTGATTTCATTATGGCATCCTCTTACATATATTCTGTTTCGGCATCCCCCAAAGCTGGTTCTCTTGTGCGTGTGCGCGAACACACACACACACACACACACACACACACACACACACGATGAAGCGGAGAACGAGAATTTTAAATCTGGGCGAGAGAAAACAACTAGTATTCGTCCTTTTGGCTGATTTCATTTCATATGATTTCCTTTTATCTCCATTTTCATGAATTTCTGAAATGTTCTCCCCCCCCCCGTCTGTCTCTGAGTAGAGTTGATTAGTAGATTTTTTTTTTCATACCATTTTACTTGAAAGTCCCTAAGATCAAAAAGCTTCAGAAAGTCCTGTTCTTGACTGCATGTATGTCTATGTACTCTGTGTGTCTAGTGCCCACTAGAGACCAGAACAGTGCATCATAGCCCCTAGAACTAGAATTAGACTTGTAAGCAAGCCGCTGTAATTGGGTCCTCTGGAAGAACCGCCAGTGTTCTTAGCCTCTGAGCCATGTCTGTAAGCCCCAACCTTCAGTACTAGGGTTAGAACCTAGAGGACAATTTGTATACTAAGTAAAACACTTAGTAGTCGCCAAGTAACTATTTCTGATATTTGCTTTTCAGGAAATCATTTCAAAAATTTCCCCAGTCAAATTCTGAGGAATGGAAATCCTTGAAAGACCTGAAAAGCCAGTTTGAACATTTAAAATCTGAACTTTCTTTTCTAAGTAAACTTACTGGCATCAATATAAAGAATTATTCCAAGATTGAGGACATTACAAACACTGAAGTGACGGAAATGGGTAAGTATTATTTTTTAACCTGGATGTGATTTTTAAAATTTATTTTGAATGTACGTTGGGGCGGGGTACACATGTCACAGTGTGCTTGTGGAGAGCAGAGGACAGTTTTCGGGGTTCTCTTCTCTTTCCACCTTGTTGAGGCAAAGCCTGTCTTCTAGCGTCCGCGTAACACTCCCCAGGCTCAATGGCTCCCCTTGCAGATCTCTTCCTCCTTTTTTCTTTTCTTTCTTTCTTTTTTTTTTTTTTTTGGTTTTTTGAGACAGGGTTTCTCTGTGGCTTTGGATTCTGTCCTGGAACTAGCTCTGTAGACCAGGCTGGTCTTCCTCCTTTTTTCACCCCCGCATATATTCCAAGGATCTAATGTAGGTCCTAATGCTTACAAGGCAAAAGCCCTACCAGCTGACCAAACCCCTAGCCCTATTCTTACTCTTTACTTAAAAAAAAAAAAAATCTGTTCATATTTAAAAAATACTGAAAGTATCATAGGGGGGTGAATTTGCTGTGATTTCATTCCATATTTAACAATTGACTCAATCTGAAGCTAATTATTTCAGATGATTTTCACTAAAAGAAAGCTTTCCAGCCTACAGTACCTTCTTTTTCTTTTAATAATTCTATACTTGAATAATAATTATTAAGTGACATGCTGGTTTCTACATTACACAAAGGCATGATACACATATATTAAAATGAGATGTGGCATAAATGCATTTTGGGGACTAAATATTCATAGGAAAGAGGCTAGGATAAAATTTTAGAATTTTTTAATTGTTTATTTTCTTTGGGTGGCAGCATATAGATTTTTTTCTCTTTTGTATTCCCATGTATTCCCAATTTTCTAGAAAAATAAACTTTATTACTGCAATGAAAAAAAATGGCCTATTCAAATTTAAAAAGCACTTAAAGTTTATTATAATGCGTATATATGTAATTCATATATGTATTGTATACTTTCATAATGAAAAAAGCAAAATTTAGACTAAAATCACAGTATTTATGTGGCCCTAAGCATCTCATTTGCAAATTAAAGTGATCTATGTTATTTATTTATTTATTTAGTTTTTTTCGAGACAGGGTTTCTCTGTGTCTTTGGAGCCTGTCCTGGAACTATCTCTTGTAGGCCAGGCTGGTCTCGAACTCACAGAGATCTGCCTGCCTCTGCCTAGCAAGTGCTGGGATTAAAGGCATGCGCCACCACCGCCCGGCTGATCTATGTTATTTTTAAGATTACATTCAAGATTCATCTTTTACCACGTCTTGACTTTTTATTACTTTTTAAAAATTACATTTATATATTTATGTGTGTATGTGTGAGCACACATGACTTGTGTCAAAGTCAGAGGACAAACTGAATTGAAAGAGTTGGCCTTTCCTTCTACCATGTGGGTTCCAGGTATCAAAGCTGGGCCCCCTTTTTTTTAATTTTTTTTAATTTATTTTTATTGAGCTCTACATTTTTCTCTGCTCCCTTCCCTGCCTCTCCCCTCTCCTTCAACCCTCTCCCAAGGTCCCCATGCTCCCAATTTACTCAGGAGATCTTGTCTTTTTCTACTTCCCACAAAGCTTGGTGCCAAGTGTTTTGATGCACCCAAGCCACCATATAACAAGGCTGGTCCTTTTGTTTTTTTGTTTTTAGGGACAAAGCCCCAAATCTCCTGGATTTTCTTCAGTATTATGGGGATTTGTTTTGGCTTTTGGGGTTTTTTTTGGCAAATGGTGTGGGAGTTGGTTCGAGACAGGGTTTTTCTGTAGCTTTGGAGTCTGTCCTGGAACTCCAGAGAGAGGTGGATCTCTGTGAGTTCGAGGTCAGTCTAGTTTACAGAGCGAGGACAGCCAGAGCTACACAGAGAGACCCTGTCTCAAAAAACAAAACAAAAAGAAAGAAAAAAGAAATAGTCTGTGGTAGAAGATAAGGGAAACTTTCAAGGTACTATAAAATTGGAACATCTTGATTTGGGTGTTCGGTACATGAGTAAACACATGTAAAAATGATAGAGGTGTTAAGAGTATTGCATTTTAAGCATTTAAATTGTACTTGGGATATTTTTTTTTTTTTTTTGGTTTTTCGAGACAGGGTTTCTCTGTAGCTTTGGAGCCTGTCCTGGAACTCCCTTTGTAGACCAGGCTGGCCTCGAACTCACAGAGATCCTCCTGCCTCTGCCTCCCAAGTGCTGGGATTAAAGGCGTGCGCCACCACCGCCCGGCGTACTTGTGATATTTCAAACATACCATTTGAACTCATTTTTGTACTAGGTTTTTTTCTTTGGTGCCACTGACTAGCTCTAAATCATGACATGGAGATTTATTAGTTTTGAATGCTTGACTTAGCTTAGGCTTGTTTCTAGCTAGCTCTTTTAACTTAAATTAACCTGTTTCTCTTCACCTGCATTTTGCCTTGGGGCTTCTTACCTTTTCTTTCTGTATACTTTGTTTAGCTGGTGGCGACTGCCTGGCTGGCTGGCCCTGAGCATCTCCCTCTTTTTTCCCCTTATTCTCTTCTCCTCCTCTTGTCTCGTTCTCCTATTTATTCTCTCTGCCTGCCAACCTTGCCTATCCCTCTTCTGCCTAGCTATTAGCATTTAGCTTTTTATTAGACCAGTCAGGTGCCTTAGCAAGGTGAAACAACAACACGTCTTTTCATAATTAAACAAATGCAGCAGAAACAAATGTAACACTTTTACACAATTAAAGTAATATTCCCCAGCATAAACAAATGTAGCACATCTTTGCCTCCTTAAATATTCCACAACACATTTTAGTGGGATTTTTGTTGTTCTTATTATTATTTGGTTTGGGTTTTTGTTTTGTTTTCATTTGTTTGTTTTAAGATGGTATCTCTTTATGTAGCCCTGGCTAGTCTGGAACACAGCAATCCTCATGCCTCTGCTTCTCTAGTGCTGGGATTAAAGGTGTGCAACATCATGTACACCTTTAGTGGACATTTGAGGAGTAAGAAAAGTAAACACACAGATTTGTTATTGTTTTTAGCTATGGTAATGTAAAGGACCATGAAACCAAAGTAAAAGAGGCATGAATATCTAGAATTGTAGAGTACAGTTTATAGTTCTGAGTTTTGGAAAATGCCAATTGAATCTTTGAAATGTGAGTTAGAAAGGTGGACATATTAATGGGTTAGGACAAAAATAACTTCCTCCTGGCTGGGAAAGTACCTTCTGTGTTGTAATACTAGATTCGGGTGTATATCAGGAGCCAGAGGCCATCCATAATGCTCCATTTATGATTATAATGGTATTGAGTTCGTTTGGAAACTATAGGAAAAAACAGCTAGTATTACTCTGGTATAATTGTGGTGATCACAGTAATGTCAAAATAAATCCACAAACAAGAAGATAATATTGAAAAAAATTCATATAGGCAAGATGGATGACTCAGCGGATAAAGGCCCTAACACCCAGCCTAATAATGACCAGAGTTTACACATTGGAACCCACATAGTAGAAGAAGAGAACTGATCCCTCAAGTTGTCCTCTGACCTCTACATGCATCACACACACTCACACACACATAGACACACATACACATGTGAATAAATATGAAAAAAATTTAAATAAAGGCTGGGTGTGGTGGTACTTGCCTTTAATCCCAGTTTTCTGGAGGCAGAGACAGGCCAGTCTCTGAGTTTGAGGCCAACATGGTTTTTACATAGTGAGTTCCAGTATAGCAAGGACTATATAGAGATACCCTGTCTCAAAATAAAATCAAGTAAATAAATAAAAAAATGAAAATAAAACATACGACAGTTAACATGATTCAGACTTATTTAGGGTTATACAGTGTGTGTGTGTATGTATATGTGGTGTGTTACTTACCTTAACCATAGATAGACTTGAGAACTTGAAAGTATACATTTTCTGTAATTCTATTTTATAAGACCAATTTCTTTGACATGATCATACAGATTTTTAAAAAATTTCTTTGTTTTATGTGTGTTGGTGTTTTTGCCTGCCTGTATGTCTGTGAGGGTGTCAGACACTGGAGTTACAGTCAGTTGTTAGCTTCTATGTGGGTGCTGGGAATTGAACCTGCGTCCGAACCTGGGTCCTCTGGAAGAACACGCAGTGATCTTTACCACTGAGCCATTGCTCCAGCCCCAGACCTTCCAGATTTTTTTAAATTGACTGCTAATGTATACCTTTATAAATCTACTTGCAAGTAGATAGTCATGTAAATAAGTATTTGAAGAATAGCATTCTTTTAAATAAAATATTTAATTTTCTAATTAACAGATACAAAGAAAGTTCTACAGAGACACAGATTATCAGGAAATTGCAGCATGGTTACATTTCAACTGGAATTTCAGGTTCTGCAAATTGAGGTAACTTGAGCATATTGTGGTAGCAGATTTTTTTTTCCTATGAGAAACAGTTCCCATACTTAAGTCACTACAGTGGTTGAGATGAGAAAGAGTGTATAAGCCAGGGTTCCTTTATAGCACTTTTGTATCATAAAACATTTTTAGAGTACCTTCTTGTAGACAGATTTTTTTTTTTTTTGGACCACTAGCTCACAAAAAACAACACAGAGAATTAAGACTTAAGAGATTGGCCTTAGTTTAGGCTTATAAATTCTTACAACTTAAATTAATCCATATCTTTTAATCTACATTCTTTTACATGTGTGGCTCACATGTAATACAGCAAACAATACTTCTTCACGTTGTACAAATATTCTACAACACCCTCTCAACTGATGGAATTAGTGCTGAGCCTATATGTGCTTTATTTTAAGCCTGGTAGGAAATGGTTTTAGGCTCCCAATGGAAGTCTCTGAGGTCATGCAATCAGTTTTGCATGCTGCCAGCAGTTAGCTGATGGGGAAACTATTATCTTTTAATTATTTTTGTGTAACAAATTTCCTAACAGTTATTTGAAACAACAAAAAATACTATCTTATACCTTTTCTATGTGTCAGGCATGTGGGAGCAGCCCAGTTGGGTGTCCTTGTGTAGGGTCTCTCAGGTGACCATCATTTTGGGGTCACAGCCATGTTGAAAGGTCCTGCAGGTTATTTTGGACTGCCAGCAGACACAGGAAGACGTGCCTTTGGCTTAGACTTCAAGGTAGTGCAGTAGACAGAATGGTCATTTGTAACCCTGTGGGCAGGAATAGAACAGCTAAAGCAGAACAGGCTCAACAGCCAGAGGCTCCCTCTGAAAAGAGTCAAATCTAGTCATAAATTTGAGAACCAGCCTAGCTGGAGACATGCTTTGATAGCAGAAGTTTCAACCATTTGGTTTTGCCATCTAGGTTTATAAGAAATTTTTACAAAGAACAGAGCCAGGAAGGATAGAAAGGCTGCCTTGGGCTCATATCAGGTAGATGAAGTGTGGACAGACTGTGGTCACCTCAAGTTCTGTAGACAAGCTGTACTCAAGCATTCAGTCTCAGGTGCCGGGATTCCTTATTCTAGCTGGTATCCTCAGCCATGAAACAAGCCCCAAATTGTGTCTTTTTTTTTTTTAACTGGGACAGATGTCAGTGACTCTGTTAGTATCCTGTGTGTACATGTCAGAGAGCCATATAATAAAAGCAATTCAAGCATGAGGTTCAGATTTGTAGGCTTTGAGCTTTTTCTTCTCTGGGCTGTTAATGTCACTTGCTGATACTGGCCTGGGACAGGCTAAGGATGGGTTGTGGAATATCTGATGACAGAGCTCCCAACAATCACTCACTTCAGTACCACCCTTCGGTATTACCAGTATGACCAAGAAAACACAGCGTGGTGTTCCAAATACCAGCTGAACAAAATACATTCGTTAATTCAAAAATGTAATTCTCATCTCAAATGAGATACAGTAAAGTGGGGAGATCTCTACTATAGGCCTAAGATGCTCTCTGGTGACGTTCTTATCCTGCTAGGTTGGTGGAAGCTAGTGGTCTGTCGAAAGTTAATAGGTTCTAAATAGTTTTTATATGTTAGTCACAGAAGAGGGAAAGGAATAGCTATTTGGGGGACTAAAAGTAGCCCAAGAAAAATTGTAATTTGGCTCTGGACTTGAAACATTCCAAAATTTCTACAATCATCAAATCTCTAATCAGTCAGTCTTGCAAAAGGTTTCATCTTGAAGGTGTCGCTTCTTTCTGAGAACTTTGACTCATAACAGTTAACATTTTCACATGTTAAGGCATACTTGATGAGTGATCTTTTTTGAGACAGGGTTTCTCTGTAGCTTTGGTGCCTGCCTGTCCTAGAACTAGCTCTTGTAGACCAGGCTGGCCTCGAACTCACAGAGATCCGCCTGCCTCAGCTTCCCATGTGCTGAGATTAAAGGCGTGTGCCACCACTGCCTGGCTTGATGAGTGATTTTATGTAAGTTATACTTTTCTCAAATGTGCACCAACCTTAGGGCACTACAGGGTCACTGAGGCAGTACTACATGAAGATCTCTGTTAAAGACTGGACTGGAGCATGAGCCCAAATTGATTGTTTCATCCAGTTTGAACAGCCTGTTTTAAGACCCCATGTTTTCCTTTGTGTGACCTAGGAACTCTTAGGTTTTTCCCATTGTAAAATAGTTGTATAGTCTGATCAACTGAATTTTCTTTGTTTTTGGCCAATGTTGTTTCTCACCTCAGATTGGTACTATACCATCTGTTTTCCTGCATGGTGGTATCCATTTATAGGTGCAGACTAGCCTGTGGCAATTTGGTGGTATCAAACCATGTTCAGCTTCTTCTCTTAGGACTTCTTTTTTTTTTTTTGATTTTCGAGACAGGGTTTCTCTGTGGCTTTGGAGCCTGTCCTGGAACTAGCTCTGTAGACCAGGCTGGTCTCGAACTCACAGAGATCCGCCTGCCTCTGCCTCCCGAGTGCTGGGATTAAAGGCGTGTGCCACCATCTCCCGGCTTAGAAGCTCTTAGGACTTCTGTAGTCTAGTATCCAGACATGTCTGGTAATTGACTCTGATATCCTGTTGTTGGCCTTAAGGTCTTGTTGGTGTTTTCTGTTACAGATGCTTATCTTTGTCATGTGTATTTCAGCGCGGATGTGTGAGTTCACATGGGTCCGAGAAATGAAGACTCAGAAACACATGAGAATGAACTTAGCCTCTGTGGCTGCAAGGAGCTCAGTCTCGGTGAACTGAAGCTCCTTCCCTTTTCCTCTCAGCATCTTTATTTTTTTCTATATTTACACTTTAGCTAGTAGATTCTCATATCTCAAAACAAACTGATAGAAGCTTCTGACAATACAATGCCAGGTGCAAATACTTGATTCATGAGGTACCATGGTTTCCTAGGTTTCCTTTAAACCTAGGCTTTATATCCATGGGAAACTCTCAGTCAAGAATCACAATTGGGCAACAAAAGGTATTTGTAAAGGAAGGTCTAGAGGCTGTGTGAAAACTCCAGAGCAAGGCCAGGTATAACCCAGCAGGGTTTCATGGTTTGTGAAGGTTGCTTGCTATCCCTCTGGTGCCAGGTTTGCGGGACATTATATCATATGTCTTTCACAGTTACTTCATGGTTTTCTGGAGAGAAGTTTTGCTGTGAACAAAACAAGGCTTGTTTTGAAAAGTTTTTTCACAAATCCAATTGAACACAGACTATTTATTCCAAGTTTGATCTGAACAAGGAGTTAGGTGGAGCTGTACTTTTCAGGATGTGTTGTGTCCAAAGATTAATTATGTTGTCATTAGTGGGACTGGACACAAGAGATTACTCAAATTCACAGTGTTAAGTTGCGTACTTTTGTCACCGTAGGCCAATGAAAATTCAGGGCAAAAAAGCATTAGGCACAGCTAATGGTTTCTGCCTTACGTACCTTAAGGATACAGAAAAATATGAGAGAAACTGTTGAAATTCTTTGAGAGACTGAATACTGCAATTCAGTCTCCAAAGAGACGGTATTGTTCATATTTAAAATTATATAGGCATTTCGATGACTACTTAGTTTTTTGTTAACAATGTGCTGTAGAAAAGCGTGCTTTCCTTGGCTCTCTTGAGAGCACCCATTTTCTCTCCGGACCTTTTAAAATTTATGACTCTTAAAGGAACACTGGCGAGTAAGATGTTGGAAAGAACTGCAGATAGCTGTGGAACTAATGGGGCCTTGGGGATCACTTATATAGGAGTTGTCAATAGTTATTGGACAAAAGCACTTTTTATATTTCTTTGTTTCTTAGAATTTGAACAAAAGGAAGTAATGAGGATTTTTTTAAATTAATTTCTTACTTTATTGGAGTGGGGGATGGGGGTAAGGTCTTGCCTTCTTCAGCTTGGCCTTGAACTCATGTTCATCTGCTTCTGCCTCCTAAGCACTTAAATTCCAGGTGTGTGCTGCCACACTCACTGTGTAGGTAGTTGAAGTCCTCCTTATAGATTTACTAGGTTCAAGGCTGAAGAGATGGCTAAGCAGTTAAAAGCACTTGTTGCTCTTACAGAGGGCCCGGGTTCAGTTCCTTTCACCCACACGATGGCTCACAACTATCTGGAACTCCAATTCCAAAGAATCTGATGCCTTCTCATGACTTCTGAGGGTACCAGGCATGCACATGTTACACATATATACATGCAAACAAAATACTCATACACTTTAAATAAATCTTTTTTAAGGTTCTTCCTCCCCTGCCCGAGACAGGGTATCTCTAGCTGTCCTGAAACTCCCTTTAAAAATTAGAATTGTGGCCGGGCGATGGTGGCGCACGCCTTTTATCCCAGCACTCGGGAGGCAGAGGCAGGCGGATCTCTGTGAGTTCGAGACCAGCCTGGTCTACAGGTCTACAGAGCTAGTTCCAGGACAGGCTCCAAAGCCACAGAGAAACCCTGTCTCGAAAAACCAAAAAAAAAAAAAAAAAAAAAAAAAATTAGAATTGTGAGGTCAGAGGAAATGTACATCTCTTCTAAAATGGTTTTACTGTTGGTGCTGGTTAGTTTTTATTGTCCTAGAGTCACCTGGGAAGAGAGAATTTTGAGATCATATTGGCCTGGGGATATATTTATGGGAGATTGTATCGATTGATGCTTGATATAGATGACACTAATCCTAGGCAGGTGGTCCTGAAATGTATAAAAAAAATCTAGCTGAAGCAGGCAGTAGTGGCACAGGCCTTTAATCCCAACACTTGGGAGACAGAGACAGTCATCTTGAGTTCAAGGCCATCCTGATCAATTTAGTGAGTTTTAGAGCAAGGGCTACACAGAGAAACCCTGTCTCCAAAAAAAAAAAAAAAAAAGACAAAACAACAACAGCAACAAAAATATCTAGCTGAGCCTAAGCTAGTGAGCAACCCAATAAGCAGCATTCCTCCATGGTTTCTGCTTTTAAGTTCCTGCTTGAATTCCTGTCCTGACTTCCCTGAGTAGACTGACTGACCTG